AAGAAAGAGAAGAAAGAGAAGAAAGAGAAGAAAGAGAAGAAAGAGAAGAAAGAAAGAGAAAAAAAAAAGTTGGGGAAGGAGAAAGAAAAATAATCACGAAAGAAGCTCTAGGATGGGGCTCGGAGGCCGCGAGTGTCCTCTTCGCGGGTGACAGCCGCTCCGTGCCGGTCCCTCTCGCCCCTTCTCGGGGTTCTGAGGGGATGGGGACAGCGGGGACAGCGGGGACAGCGGGGACAGCAGGGACAGCCGCCCCCCGGCCCACACCGCCGCTCGCTGCTGCGCGGAACCGCCGAGCGCCCCGCGGAGGGAAAACGCGGAGGGGAAGGGGGAGGCGCGGGGGGAGCGGGCAGGGGCCGCGGGGGGGTTACCTGGCACCTCCGTGTCGGAGGATTCACTGGCCGAGTTCTCGATCGGGTCTCTGGGCTCCGAGGATCTTTGCAAATGGAAGCTGGAAGCCATGTCATGGGAGGGTTGGGGTCTCAAGCTCTCGGGCAGTCTCTCCAAATTCATTCCACCTTTAAAGGAATCCATGGCGGGGGCGCCGGGCTGCCTGGGGGAGTTTGCAGGTGTTTATTCCACACAGAAAGGAACAAGGAGCTTTTTTTTTTTTGCTTTTTTTTTTTTCTCCCCTCTCTCTCTTTTTCTCTCTCTCTCGTTTTTTGTTTTTGTTTTTTTTTTTCTTTAAGGGAAAAAAAAAAAAAAACCACGACAAAACACAACAACAACAACAACAAAAAAAACAAAAACAAAAACAAAAGCAAATCCACTTATTACTAACAGTATTATTTTAAGGGTGTCGGAAGAAGAGATCTGGGCAGAGCCTGGAAGCCGCCGGGCTCTGCGCGGGGAGAGGCACGGCAGTCCGGCCGCATAGGCAGGAAAGTGGTAAAGATCCCTTATAGAGAAACGCGAGTTGCGAGTTGGACAGTTTAAAGCTAAAGAGATTAAAGTGACCTGCCCTAGAACAAATGCCTGTAGTTAAACGGGGCTCCTCCCCCTGAAGGTTAAAACCTCCCCGTCTCGCTCATGCATCACTCCCATCTAGCGCTCGCCCAGCCCGGCCGCGCGGGCGGACCTGCCTGCGCGCTCCCCGCCGAAGTTGCGCGCTTCTTGCGCGGCCGCCCCGCACCCCTTCCCCCCTCCTGACTTCTTCGTGAGAGAAATGCAGCTCTTGAAGGTGCTCCCCCAGCCTTCCCCCGCCGCTTCCCCCCGCCGCCTCCCCCAAATACCTCGCCGAGGTATTAAAAATATTTCATAACGAATGGAAAGGTGGAAAATCATTCCCAGCCGTGCGGAGGGCGGTTCGTCCCCCCTCCCCCTCTGCCTGCCCTCAACCTCTGGGTGGGGGTGGGGGGGGTGGCAGCACCCCTTGGCCTCCTTTCATCCCTGGCAGGTTGTTCCCGTGCGCATCTCCGCGCGCATCCCCCTTCCTCCCCTTCCCTCCCCCCCCCCCCCCCCCCGGGCCTCCTGTCCGCGCGAGCTGCGCACCCCGCGCAGAGACCCCACGGCGAGTTCGAGTCCCGCGGGGAACGGATCCCTCCGAGCTGCGGGGGTTGCCCTGGGAACGGCCCCCAGGGATTTGTGTCTGATTCGGTTTTATCCCTTTCTAACACTTCTTTTTTTTCACTCGCTGAAGGGCAGCAGCGGTGATCTGGGGGACAGGGCGAGGGGATGCGTGGGGATCTCGGCTGCGCTCTGCCCGTGGAAGGGACCTTCTCTCCTCTTTATTTTCTCGGCCCCCTTTAACTGATCCATCCTGACACTCTATTTTGCTTTCAAATCAAGTAAAGATGTGGGAGAGAACTTTTGAACTGTTTTATGGAAAGTGGAGTGGAGCAATGCTGCAGTGCGGGCTTTCTTTCTTCCCTCACCGGGCTGTTACGTCCGGCTCTGAACCTCTGATCTCCAAAGCCTTTTGCAGCTCAGGGTGTGTAAGGTAGGTGCTGTCACGCTCAGGTCTCTATCCATTTTCTTTCTTTTCTTTTCCAGCTCCGCAGCCGATACATTTCACAGTCCCCTCCTTTCTTTTTCTTTCTTTTTTATTTATTTTTAAATTATTATTATTATTTGAATTTCTGCGGGGCCGGAAGAGGGGCAGCCCCGGGCAGCTCTCCGGGAGCTCTCGGCTGGAGCCAGGATTGCTGCGCTGGAGGGCAGCTGCCAACAGCCCGGCCGCTCTGCTCCGGCTATTTTAAACCCACTGCTCACAGCAGCTTGAAAACCGGAGGCGGGATTTTTCCTTCTTTTTCTTTTCTTTTCTTTTATTTTTTTTTTCTTTCTTCCTTTTTTCTTCCTTTTTTCTTTCTTTCTTTTTTCTTTCTTTTTTTTTTTTTTACCCTCAGCCCAATTTTCACTTTTTGTTCTGCTCTATAAAACGCATTTTCAAAATTCGTTCTAGGATCAAATCCCTCGGCTGGACTCAGGGAAAGGCTCAGCCAGGACGCAGAGGCTTTTCCTGGGATAGCGTTCTTCCTCTGAGGGCGTCCCTGGGGCATGGGCCCGGCGGGGGGGTGGGGAGGTGGAGAAGGGCTCCGTGCCCTGCCCGGCATCCTGCCCTTCTCTCCATGCGTGTCCGTGCCCGGGCCATGATCAGGCATTCACTGCCCACCTGTACACGGATCCAGAGTATCACACATGGAGATACGTGTTTGTTTCATGCCTTGTATGTGTCTTCTGTATGTCTTATATACGCCTTATGCATGTCTTACATACACCTTATGTATGTCGTATGTGGGACTCAGGGCGCTTTCTTGCTCTGCTCTTTAGGAGCTGGGAGGGTTCCTGTCACACAGAGCCGTCTCCTCCCGTTCTACCCGGACGACACATTGTCGGGACAAACCGGTCCTCCCCACATTTGCATTTTTCCTTTTTCCCCACCCAGGCCCGCTCCGTTTCGAGTGCCGGGAACATCCCTTCTCTGCATCCCTCTCCTTTAGGCGTTACGTCACGTTCACCCCCGCGTGATGTCACGCCCCGTTTCCCTGACGTCACGCCTTGCATCTTTTGATGCTGGAAGAAGGGAAGCGAGGCCGCAGCCACGGGGCAGCCTCCCACCCGTCCCTGTGGGGACACCCCTTGAGGGAGCCGTGACCCTCGTGGGTGTGGGAAGGGCCGTGGAGGACTGGGGCCGGGGGCCGCGGTGATTTTGCTTGGGAAAATTCCTCGCAGTGCCTGCCCGAGCCGGACCCGGGGCCCACGCAGCCGGGACTCCCCCGGCCCAGGGCTGCAGGGTCGCAAATACACCTCTCCTTTCCTCCTGCCATAAATAATGCAAGAACGAGCCGCGGCTCTTATGAATAAACTGGAGTTGGCCACGCCATTTGTAACTCAGTTGAGAAGAGGACGAGAAAAGACCGAACTGGAGAATCACCCAGTGGTCTCAGAGGGGCCCACAGTCCCTCCCCATCATCCCGGAACGAGTCCTGCGCCAGAGACCCTGCAGGAGCTTTCCTACTTTTGGAAAGGAGCTCCCATCCCCGGCTGGCGGCCGCTTTTGTAGCCAACACAAAACCACCTGGGCCGTATATCAGGCAGCGAAGTTAAGAAGTCTCCGCCAGCTTTTCCTCTTCAGATTTATTAGCATTGTATGGACTCAGATTCAGTCTATAAATTATTGGGAATCGTTACGAAAATGAAAGCGTCTCCTCCCAAGTGCACCTCAGTCCGAGAGGAGAGGGAAACCCTCCCAAAATAAACAAATAAACAAACAAACAAATGCAAAACAATAAAAACAGCAGTAGTGAGGCAAGGGATAAGGGAGACATTCCTCAACCAAGTCCAACTCAACTCAATCCAACCCAAGCCCAGCCAACCCAAACCAACTCAGTTGAATGCAACCAAACCAAACCAAACCAAACCAAACCAAACCAAACCAAACCAAACCAAACCAATCCAATCTAAACACAAGCCAGCCAAACCCATCCAAAGCAAAGTCAGTCAAAACAAGCCCAAGCAAAGCCAAGGCAAACCAGCCAACCTTCACCCTGGCGACTCTTCCCGAAGCCCCGTAGAAGGGAATTGGCTGCAGGAAAACAACATCTATAATAAAACCCTCCCAAAAGTGCCCGGCTGAAGGTGCGGGGGGTGGTGAAGGGCCACCGCCACTGACTGAAGCAGGAGACATCGGCAGGGAGGTGACAACTGCTGGAAACGCACAGCTCCTCCGTGCGCATAGCCGGCTGCGCTGTGACAGGGGCATTTTTAAAACTCCCCGACGGTGAAAATGCCCCTCGCATGAGTAGATAAGCGATTATTAGCCTCCGGCCCTTGTCAATCCTTTGCTGCGTGGTTCTGGGTTGGGAGCAAGTAGGCAGGGGAGATACACACAGTATGCGCGGATTGCGCGGTGCCCCGCGGAGCTCGGACCGCTCCAATGGGACGGAGTTTGCTGTCGCGGAGTAACGGGGGTGGTGTCCGTCGGTTCCACGTCCCGTGGGTCCTGCCCAAGCAGCATCACCTTAACAGAGCCAAGCAGAGACCCGAGTGTACGCCCCAGAGCAAGGAAAAGCTCAGCACCATCTTGTTGGGGCTGTGAACGCCCCCGCCAGCATGGCTCTAACCGAGCAGTCCCCAAAAAACGGCGAGCACGAAACGAGCCCCGACACGGACAGCTCTGCGGCCACCCCGTCCGAACCGGGTCCCCCTCGGGTGCCCACGAGAGGGCAGAGGGAAGCGGAGAGGGGGAAGAATCCCAGCCGAGAAAGCATGTTAAATCGCTCAGGGTAGGAAGGTGGAAAATTACGCTGGCTCCTAGCCGGCCCGTCCTCTACGCAGCCAGGAGAGCGATTTTCCTAAGAAGTTGAGCAAAACGAGATCAGTCCCTTTTGGATCTGCAGTCTCCGTCGGCACAGCCAATCTCCGGCTCCGCGGGCGCTCAGGGTTCCCCCGGCCGTCCCTGCCACCCCCGGCCTCCCGAAGCCCCCCGTTACTCCCCGAGATTTGCCCGCGGGGCACCGCGCTCATCTCGACCCGGCCGGCCCTGCCCCACCGCTATTCAAACCCAGTGGGGAAAGCACAATTTTCGGGGGGAAACTGATATATATATTTTTTTTTTCCAGAGAGGGGCAAACGGAATGTTTTGGTGGCATTCGGCCCGTGACAGCCGGCGCATCCCGGTGCCTCCCGGTGCCCCTCTGCGCTTGGACCCCCACCGGCCCGGGGCTGCCCCAGGCGCAGGCGGCCAACGGCAGCGCTTCCAAAAAGTCGGGATGAAAAAGTTGAAGGCTTAATGTTTTCTGACAGATACAAATGATACCCCAAGGCTTTCTTAAAACGCGGCGAATGACGGGAGGAGAAAGGGTTTTCCTATTCGGGTTTCTGCAGCTGGAAGCAAACGGGGTGTGTGTGTGTGGGGGTTCTCCTCGGCCCTCCTGTCCCCAAAATTAAACCATCTCCTGGGATAACTCCGTTTTTCCCAAGTGCCGTTGGGCACAGCCCCGCTCTGGCTCTGTTCCGTGGCCCTCTCTGCATCCCTCAGACCACGAGCACCGAGCCACGCTCTGAGCAAAACCGCTGTCAGCAGCGGCTCGAGTTTAGTCCTGGTTGTCCGCAGAGTGGGATCAGCAATGCCACCGTCAGAGGATGGACAGCTCGGGGTGCGGAGGCTGCTTCTCTCGGTAGGGAGGGGGGAGAAAGGGGGAAAGGGCCGTATTATAGTCCCACAGTTCCCTCTCCGAGCAGAGGGAACATGCTTTTCTTATTAATTGATGGAGGAAGGGGCACCGGCGCTTGCAAGGCAGCCTGCTCATGTTACTCTGTGCATCTTTAGGTCCGAAATAGGTTTGGTTTGTGGACTAAAAAAGATGCCTCTGGTGCAGGGTAATCTAAGGACCGGGCACTCCGTTGGCATTTTATAAAGATCGTTCTTCTGCAGGAAAAGGGGCCGCATTTGGTACCACCGATGCTACGTTTCCTTGTGGGTTTCCCTCACCTTGTTTCGGGCGAACAACCTCTTAATTGCTGCAGCATTTGGATGGCGGGAACGCATTTCCCCTAAACAGAACATTTCCTGAAGGGCTGAACGCGCTTTAATGTTCTCAGAACAGCCGTGAATCTCTGCAGAGCCACACGTTTCCTGCCTTAAAAAGCAAAATCGGAGAAACAATTCACCTTTGTGTGCATTCAGCACCCTCTCTTCTATTTTCTTTTCTTTCCCTCCCAGTCTTTTTTCCCCCCTTTTCTTATTTTTCCTCCCACAAAGGCTCTGCGCTGTCCCTCGATGACGAACGGGGACAATTTTCTTCCCAGTTTCACTGTGGGAACGGCCGTGTCTTAACGGGCACATCTAAACGAGAGATAGGAGAACACCACCGCCTTCCAGAGGGCTGCGCTAATCAGCGCACGGGGCAAGATATAAAAGTTCAGGGCAAATAAAACGAATTAGTTTTATTAGCACGTTTAGGAGGCGGTCTAACGAAGGAATTCGGCTTTACTAGAGAATGTTTTCTCCTCCCCTTTTGTTATTTAAAAGCAGCATCTATGCGGGCTGCTCGGGACGGGGGTGGGAAATAACGCACCGTTCAACCCGCAGTGATTTTCTCCGAGGAACGCGCTCTTCTTTCCACCCGGTAAGGAGGACAGAGCCCGGGAAATACACGATTTCACAATGAAATCTGCTCGAACAATAAAACCGATAGTAAAGGAGAGGCTCGGAGCCGTTCGTCGGCGGCTGTCGGGGGAAATCTCTGTCCCGCTCAGGGTTTCGTTCGGCTAAACCGCGTCCGGGGAACGGTGTCACCGCTCCGGCTCGCGATCTCCAGGACTCGGCCAGTAATTCAGGCACCAGAAGGATTTTGGGGACGTTCTCCAAGAGAAGAAGCTCTCAGCAATTATTTGGAAGCCGGGTTTTAGCTCACAGGCGCAGGGAAAGCATCCCTTGGGTTGGAAGGCAGAAATCACGTATTTTAAGACTATTAGGAAATAAGCAAACGGCGTCTCGGTCCTCGCTACCCGCACTGCATTTGCTTTTTTTTTTTTTTTTTTTTTTTTTTTTTTGTTCATTTCGTGTCTCGCCGTTTGTGTTCGCTTATAGCGAGGTTAAGAAATAAGGACGAAATAACAGAAAACGCTCTTAGGGACGATCTTTTACGCGACACCTGAAAATTCTTCTAAAGGTACCGTCGGGGGGGAACTCCGCACGTCCATTCAACGGAGTTAACACGAGGAAAAAAAAGCCTTTTTCCACCGCTCCGAGAATTTCGCCCCCGTTGGACGGAGAGGAGTTGCGGGACATTGCTGGAGAGTGGGGGTTCCTAAAGGTGTGTCTATTTTTTCCAATCAGAATGTAAATAGTAATAATAATAGTAATAATAATAATAATAACACACGCAAAGTGGAAAAAAAAAAAAAAAAAGCAGGGGAAAGGAAGAATATTCTTTTTCCGAACAGGGAATTAATTGAACGGCAGCCAGACTCTCTCCGCCCGCTTCTCTTGCCCGGCTGAGCCCCACGCAGCTCCCCGTGCCCCCCATCCCTCCACCTGTCCCGGCTCAGCCCCTCCGTGCTGCCATCCCCGGCCACCCCCGGGGCCCCGATCCGGCCGCCCCATCCTATAGTAGGGACCGTCCTTCGCTCCGCGCTGCTCAGGAGAAGAACTCGGAGTTGAAAACGGTGCGCTTACGATAAAATGATAATAACACAACAACAACGACGGCGACAAAAATCTGAAATAAAATGAGGTAACCCTTTTGGAATTACGTTTCCATGCGTATTTGTCAGTGCTGACGAAGCGCAGAGGCCCTGAAAAGAATTTACGCGCTAGAACGATGCCAGGGGCCGCGGCCGTGCGCGGGGCGCAGAGCTGCGGGGCGGGCGGCGACGCGGAGCGGTGAGGGGCGCAACCCCCCCCCCCCCTTCCCTCGACCCGGCCCGGCCCCGCTTTGTTTGCCGGTCCGAACCGCGCGGCCCCGCAACGCTCCGCACCTCCGGAGAGGGGAAAACGGGGCCGGGACGCGACCCGAGGGACGCGCGTGGGGGGGGGGGGAACGCGTCTCGGCGCACGAGGGGAGGAGGGACGGGAGCGCGGGGCCGACCGTGCGGGACGCGGGGAGACGCGCGTGGAGGGGTCGGGAACGCGGGGACGCGCGTGGGGCCGTCCCGGAGCACTTACCGGGCGCTGCGGGGTGCCGGGCCCGGCGGGCGCTGTGCGCGCCCTGCCCGCCGCTCCAGGGTTTTCTTCGGAGATTTCCCCGTCTCCTCCTGACGTCAGCCCCGTCCCAGGGTGCCGCACACGGGGGAGGGCCGGGGGCAGGGCCGGCCGCACCGGGAGAACGGCGGAACCCGCAGCCCCGGGTCCTGCATCTCCGTCCCGCGGCAGCGGCATCCCGGGTCGGGCCCCCCCGCCCCACCGCTGGCGGCTCGGTGCTGCTCCCCGGGCGGCTCCGTGCTCAAGGTTCCACGGCCCCTGCCCTCTTCATTTCCTCCCGGCTGGTTTTCTTCGGCTGAGGGGGCAGGGAAAGCAGTGGCCACTTTTTTTTTTTTTTTCTTTAATTTTTCCCCCAGAGAGAAGCCCTGAGGAAATGCTCCTGCTGCAGTGTTTGGTATGGAGGTGAGGCAGCAAACAGAGCTGGAGCAGAGGCTGAAGGGAGGCCGTAGGGTTGCAGGGATGAGTTGCATGGGTCTGGAATGCTGCGCTTCCCCAACAGCCCTACATCCCTCCCCAGACCCCTTTATCCATTTTAATTTTCAAGTGAATGTTTTGAAGTTTCAGATGCTTTGCTCCCAGTATGTGCCCCCCTCTTGGGTTTTGGAGAGCCTAATGGATCATTCTGAAGGGAGCAGCATCCAATCGTGCAGGGACAAGGCAAGCACTACAGTGGGGACATGGCTTGTGCTTTGCTAAGGACAGAGGGATACACATGCACGTACACCCAGCCTGTAGTCATAGCCGAAAACCAAGGACAACGAATATGGAATGGATCAGAAAGATAAATAGCATAAAATCAGGAACAGTCCGGTCCCACACTTGCCATTTGTTATAGAGAGAAGAAGTAAATGGGATTCACATGTCGAGCATTAGCTGGTTGTTAGTCTGTAAGATAATATTAACTTTAGTGCTTGCTGGTTTACTCCAGTTTTCCAAAGGCAGTTCCAGGAGGCGCCCAGCCTGTAATTTAGGATGGCACATACTGTGTGAAAGAGGCTTTGGCACTGGGGCCTACCAGCACATCAAGGTGATATTAACATAATAAAACGTTTGGAGAGCGAGTAGGAGCTCATAAATTAATGCATTCTACTGTTTTAATGTGAGGAGCTAACAATGCGTTTCCTGTTGGGCTGATCGTCCCCACTGCAGCCTAACAGCTGTTTTAAAGGTGCTGTGAAATTAAAGAGAGGGAAGACGATTGTCTTTAAATCAATGTTTAATGATGTGTTATTAGGAGAATAAGTCTTCCTCCAGCAGATGTTTACACGCTGAGGATGGAGGGAGCTTCCCTGGCTGTCTGAGTGCCTGAGCAGTGTGGGTGAGATGCCCCCTGTCCCTCTACAGATGGCCCCAGTGTTCCCTGTGCAGGGTCAAGGAGGCTTGGTGGAGGGCTGGCACTGGGAAAGGCTTTGCCCAGGTCTTCCAGTGGGAGCTGAGGAAACTACTCCAGGATACTGAACGACCATGAGGTTTTGTGTGGTGGCTATGGACAGATGAACACGGCAAAAGGCAAAGACTTCCTACCCACGTTCAGCATAGTTCAGGGCTGCTGGGACCCTTTTCCTGCAACAAACAGACATGCAGATGCACGTGTTGTAAAGAGATTCCATTTCTCCTTGCCTAGGAGATGCTACTTGCTGGGTATGAGTGGGCTGGAAGCATGACTGAGCCCCCATGGAGGTAGAATGAGGCTCAGATAGCTCAGCAAGGCTGAGATGCCTCTGGCCATGCACTAACAACGGGCTCCAGGTACTAGAAAAATACACATACCTTTGAGGCAAGACGTGGGAGTGAGCTCTGGAATGTGGTACCTGAAATAAGCAAGCATCCATCTGTAGGTGCTCAAGGCTTGTCATTTCTTTTGTGCTTGATCTGAAGATGCATGAATGAGTCACCATGCCTGTGGGTTTAAAAGATGGACATCATAAGGCTTCCCTCTTAGAGAAGACATCAGGTGGATTCAGATGCCAAAAGTACATGGGGGTAGATGCTGGCAGGGTTGCTAGGGGCTGATGGAAAGTTTCATCTGCTGCTGGGCACCTTATTGCCAGGTGAACTCCTGCTGCAGGCCAAAAGAGCATCAGATCGTCTCTAGACCAACCCAAGCTGCTTCCCAAAGGCTTGTTTCCAAAGCCAAGTGTGGTGCTACAAATTGCTCCTATGCAAACAAAGGAACCCCTTGTAAGTGCTTACTTTCATCATCACAAACATTCATTAAAGTCTCTCTTTATTTCCAAATATAGCAAAGAAATGGCTCTCCAAGATTGCCTGTTCCTTTATTCATGCTCTGTTAGTGCATCTTTGGAAAAGTGTCCAGGAGGCTGCACAGCTTCTTTGGGAGAAATGGGGATGTTTGGAACATGAGTGGATTCTAACATTTCTAAACTTCCCAGAAGAGGCAGATTGTAAAGGAATAAGATTCTTTCTGTGCACGCACATTTGCTTTGGAGCCAAATGGAAAGGAGAGCTCAGAAGTAAAAAAAAAAATGACAAATTGTTTGGAAAATGTTGTCCTTCCCAAGGCAGACCTAACCATATGGGGGGAAGGCACTCAATACCGAATTTTTCCCTTTCAATCCTAGTCCAGCAGCCCTCTCATTCACTCTGCTAGGGGATTGCTGTGAGTCAGACCTGCAAGATCATCCATTCAAAGCTGGTCGTATTTCCAGCACTTCGCTCCTCTCCTATTCCCCGCTGAAGCAAGATGGAAAGGATTCCCCCCTCCCCAAATTATGATGAGAGCAGCAGGATGGGACCCAAGGCCATCCCCATCCCGGCCAGTGAAGGAAAAGGCAGAGCTGCTCCGGTGCTCTGAAGCACTGATGATAGACCTGGCTTCTCACTGGACAAATAGAGCAGTACGTTCTGATCTTGGTGGTGAAATGGAGCACAGAAAGGACTTTCTGTGGTGAGGAAACTCCTCCACTCCTTTCAGTCATCAAACTTAACATTATTGTCATCTTTAAGTAATAAATAAGCTCAATATTTTATGCGTTCCCAATTATTAACGGTGGCATTTATTGAAGGACAACAAAAGCTGCAGCAGTCGTGTACATCACCAGTTAACAGCAGTGGGCAGAGCATGCAAGACTTTGAAGAAGACTTTGGGGAAAGAGATTTTGTGTGTGGTTGTGTTTATCCCCTGGTGACACGCCGCTAACAAGCTGCAAAGCAGGGATCACCCACAACAAACAAACACAAACAAACAAAGTTTTGTGGAGGGTGGTAAGACTTAGTTTAATTCTCTTAGGTCTTTAAAAATAATTATAGCCCTGTTTGCGACAACTGGGATGGCCGCATTGACTCCAATAAAACTGCTTGTTATGCTTTAGGAGTTACATTTGGAGATGTTTCCTTACACAGTGGGGATGTCAACGAGGGTTGATCTCAATCAATGTGCATCTCTAATTGCATCTCTCCTCTTTGCACGAGCAGTAGTTTTGACTCTGCAGCTTGTGGTCAGCTGTTTACTTGCCAGTTAAGTTGCAACACGTTTAATGACTTACTAGAGAGCTGTCTGAGGACTTGCTGCTGCCAAAGAACAGGATCTGGGGGATTTTAGCATTAGTGAAAAGTTACTTAAGGTCTACATGTCGATCCAAGTATCTCTGCTGCAGTTCTATTTCATGCACTATAGATTTTGGGAGAAGCTGATAAATGACATATATGCCCTAAGGATAACATGTACTCCATGTTCTCAAAATGTATCATTGCATTTGGCTCCAGATGTGCTGCGTATTGCTTGGCTGTGCTTTGCCAGCACAGCAATGTTGTGGCTCACACGCTTTCAGGGTGCAGGGCTGAGACTTCACGTGCCACCTTTGAGTCCTTGGCAACTGCTTCAACTTTGTAGGCCTTGGTGGGAAAAGGGGCCCTGCATAGATATGCATACTCAATTCCACCTCTAGCTGAGAAGCGTTTAGATCCATAGAATCATTAAGGTCAGAAAAGACCACTAAGATCATCTGTCCAACCACCAACTCATCACCACCATGCATTTGGCTTTAACAGGGAGTGACTAAACACACATTTAAGGGTAACTACATTCTCACTTCTGGAGTGACAACCGAGATCATAGAAGTGCCATCTCTGGGGACCTATCACTGAATATTTCCTTTGTTCCTCCCATTGGAGAGGCTTTGAGCTGGGACAGGGGACAGGAGAGCAGACAGGAGCAGAGCTGCCCCAACTCCTGCCAGTGAGACCGCCTCCATGCACCATCACTGCTGTATGTGTTACCATTAACGACTTCTACAGTTATTCTAAAACCATTTAAGTGCCTTGTGGCCATCTGAAACTCACCTCCGCCCTGCACACGGGTCCCAAGTGTTAATTTTCACAGGTGAGCAGGCTGGCTTCAGAGGGGCAATGAGACAAGGGTTTATTTGGCAGAAGTTACACGGCTTCCTGAGGTGAGGCCTCATACGAATGAGAACCGATGGCTTAATATTTTGTTACATTTTCCCACCAGAGTCATTACCTCTTCACTGTGGGGATGGATTAAACCAAAGAGGGGATGCTCAGGGAGAGGCTGCCCTGTGTTGGCCTTGAGTTGCCGTGCCTCTCCCCCCTGCTCTGCCTCCTGCATCCTCCCCTTTCTGCCTCTACTCCAGTGTGCACAAAGCACCTCTTTTCAGGGAGCTGCAGAGAGAAATACGTGGTGGAACTGAACCAAAAATTCTTGTAGCAATGAGAAATCATCTGTAGATCTCAAGTGAACGAGCTTGGGTGCAGACATGTTTAGAAAACCAATGAATCGTCCTCGTGCGTATCTTCAAAATAGCTTTTGCATTTTTGCTTTCCCAAAGGGAGCATCTACAGCAGAAGACTAACCTGGGTCCCTCCCAGCCATGGGGCTGATCACAAGATAATCACCAGAACTGGGTACCAGGTCAAAATTCCACACCCATGAGGAACGCGTTCGCAGAAAAGAAGTCCTCATTTGCCTGTGAGCAAGGGAATAAAGGCACTCATCCAGCTTAGCGAAAC